TTTTTTTTTTGGCTGCATCGGGTCTTAGTTGCAGCACGCGGGATCTTCATTGCATCACACAGAATTCTCTCCAGTTGTGGAGTGGAGTGCAGGTTTTCTCTCTCTAGTTGTGGTGCAAGGACTCCAGGGCACATGGGCGCTGTAGTTTGCAGCACGCAGGTTCTCTTGTTGAGGTGCGTGAGCTCAGTAGTTGTGGTGCGTGGGCTTAGCTGCATTGGAAGGTGGATTCTTTACCACTGAACCACCAGAGAAGTCCCTAATTTCTGTTTAAAACTCTTATTAGAGCTCTTAAATAAAAGAAAAATTCTCACATGACCTAACCTTGCTTATTCATTATTCCTATCCAAGTCAAACCAATACCAGCCTCTTAATTTGCATTGCTACATTGTTCATTTTTGATCTGTATTATCGTGTCAGTCATTATGCAATGGTTCTCATGCTATTAAGTTCACAGAACAGAACAAAAGAATGACCTCATGGCCACTGCTTATTTTTCTCACACTCTTAGTCTCCTCTGATAGCCTTCAGAACTATATGCCCTTGACACACTTTAAAACCAATGTAAACTTTAATGAGCAATTAATCATTTTTGCTCAGCTACCCATTTGCCCTGCACATTAATTTTATGTCTAGAATTTGTCCATAGTATATACACTTAAAACCTCATGTTTCTTCTTTCATTGTTTTTCAGACTTGATCAAAATCTAAAGTTACACAATAGTCAAATAATTGAGATAAGCAGTTCTAGAAAAATTTGAAAAGACACAAGCTAAAAACCTTAATTCAGCAGCTTGGCTTCTCTGAAATCATGCAGCTAGCAATAAGCTTTTCATTCTACATGATTTGTTTTTACCTCCTAAACTAAATTCAACAAACCAGACAGACTGACTAGCATTGTAGCATAGTAGCAAAAAAAAAAAAAAAAAATGCATTGCATCAGTTCAGGATGCTTTTCGCTGCAATTCACAAAGACCCCAATCCAAACGGGCTTCAACAGTAAGAACAACATTATTCATGTAACCAGAAGTACAAAGGTAGGACAGCTTTCAGGCTCAGTTGAGTCGGTGGTTTAATGACACTGTCATCAAAGACATAGCTTCCTTCTGCCTCTCTACTCTGTGTCCACCTTGTCAGCTCTGTTCTAAGACTGGCTCACCTTGCTGTTGCGAGGCAGGGCCACATAACTCCTATTCAGCAGGGGAGAGAATCTCTTCTGGTGCTGTGCAAAGCAAGTCCTTTCATTCTGTCTGGGGTGGCTTCCCCAGGGCAGAAACAGTTCCCAAGATGATGCCAAGAACGAATAGAATCAGACCAAAGAGAACCCCCCTCCCCACCCTTGCCCCGGAGCTGGGGAGGGACCCAGAAAGCCTGGTGACCTGGAGGGAAGGTAGAGGGAGCAGGGAATGGATATTGACGGATATCCAAGAAAAGCCTAGCCCGTTGCAGGCTCCTGAGGTTCTCAGGGGCACACAAAGTGAGACCCACTGTGTAGGGAGGAATTCGAACTCAGGCTCTGCAGAGACTTGAGGTGACACAGACTGGACTTCACTCAAAACTGAGCCCAGTGATTATTTCCCTGTTAAAAATGCAAAGTCAGCCAAATTTGATCTAACTGGGAATTAATCAACACAGCCCTTTTCTAAAATGATTGAACTGAGATGAAACCGAATGTAAATGTAAAAGTGTTCCCTAGACCAGCCCAAGAGCCTCAGTTCTGGCCGCAACAAGTGACAAAACAGGGTGACTCTGAGAAGAGGATGTGGTCCAGTGGCCTGCGGGGAGCTGTGGGAAGCTGCCACACAAGAGGGAGTCTTAGCAGCCCGAACCCCGTGATGCTGCAGTTGCCACTTAGAATCCAGCATCCAAAACAAACAAGGACTTATTTTTTGGAAAAACAGCTGCAAGGCAGTGGAAATGACACAAATTGGATCATCAGTTGTGTGACCTTCAACTTCCTCCATTCTCTGTTTCTTTATTGTGAAATAGTATAATTAGCATAACTCAGATGAAATATTAGAGGCAGGCACCACTTTGTGGAGGACAAAAAGACATGGGGATAGGGAGGGTGGGAGGGAGGGAGACAAAGAGGGAAGAGATATGGGAACATATGTATATGTGTAACTGATTCACTCTGTTATAAAGCAGAAACTAACACACCATTGTAAAGCAATTATACCCCAATAAAGATGTTAAAAAAAAAAAAAAAAAGACATGGGGACATCGGCCATTGCTCCGTGTGTCTCCTTCCGGGGTCCAGCCTTCCTCTGCCTTCCAGATCCCCTGTCCTTCAAGGTCTAGCTCACACCTTGGCTCCTCCCTGACCTCCAGGACTCCTCTGCCTGCCCCCTGCAGGTGTCCTCTGCTCTCTCCCACCTGTTATTTACACAGGCTGTCTGCCACCTGTTTCTGTACCGCAGTCCCAAACTGTCAAATATACTCTTTTTTTTTTTTTTTTGCAATACACGGGCCTCTCACTGTCGTGGCCTCTCCCGTTGCGGAGCACAGGCTCCGGACGCTCAGGCTCAGCGGCCATGGCTCACGGGCCCAGCCGCTCCGCGGCATGTGGGATCTTCCCGGACCAGGGCACGAACCTGTGTCCCCTGCATCGGCAGGCGGACTCTCAACCACTGTGCCACCAGGGAAGCCCCAAATACACTCTTATTTACTCTCCTGTTTGTGATTGTCTCCCCAACTCATCTGTACCGGCAAATAAAGAACAGCGTCTCCCACCTCTTCGTAGCTCGGCTTGTGGGAGTGAAACAAGCCTTGAAATCACGTCGTCTCTTGAGTGATAACTCAGAGGTGAAATGACCTGCCAAAAGTTACTCAAGCTCAGACAGCTGGGTCAGTACTAGAAGCCAGGCCCCTGGATGCCCAGTGACACTCTCAATGTGGTGGAGGTGCAAAGGGGGCCTGACTTTACAAATCATACAGCTCCTCCCAGGGTGCCTAGCCGAAATGCGTAATAATGACAAGCGTTTCTGAAGGGTGGATGCTGTCTGGCAAAGGCTTGAAGGCAGAAGAAAGGTTGGGGGCCACTGGGGCAGTGGGCTTTGGGGCCAGGCTGGTCTAGGCTTCATCTTGTCACTGCCCGCACTGCCTGGTCCAGGGCAACCTTGGTCCATTGAAGTCGGAAGTGCTTTTCGAGCTCATGCATGCCAGATGCACTCAGCAGAGATCAGGATAGAGGTGTCCTAGCTTGGGCTGCGTTATAGCCTACTGGGCAGTGTTTCCAAGCACGGAAGGAAGGGTTTTATCCTCTCTAAGCCCCTTAGGGAGTTCTCTGAAGGATACCTGAGGCAATGCAGGGGCTGCAGCCCTCAGGGTGCCCGCAGGAAGTGGGTGCTCAGGAGAGGCTGGCTTGTGCTTCTCACCCCTTTCGCACCTTCTCATGGACTCTCCGTCCATTGTCCGGTCAATGAAGATAGTTAGGAATGCTCCCGTCATCAAGTTCCAGCCTCCTTCAGGAACGGTTGGGGACAGAGTCTCAACCAGGGAAGAATGTCCAGGAGTTGTCCTGGGGCAGTGAAATGTACAGAGCGCAAACAGGCTAAACCTGAACTTTGAAACAGTGTAACCACCGCCCCCTCCAGGTCTGCACACTCTTCCCAGCCTCTCAGTCACTCCTGCCACTGGGTAGAGCAGCCTTGACGCCTGGCCAGCCCCTCCGACAGCCGCAGAGCTGGAGGGGCAGGAGGACAGCATGGAGGGCAGGCAGCTCCTTGGGGGCTCTGCTGTGGGTTGTTACCTGCCTCAAGCTGAGGGCCGTTTTGTGGGCTGCCCACCCAGTGTGCCAGCAACTCAAGCTCTAGATCTGGTCGTCCACCCTCAATTTCCTGGGGACTGGACGGGTCCTCAGTATTGCTGCCTGTTAAATAACTTTGAATCCCTCAAGTAGGAGAAATCTCAGTCCCCGGTGGAGGCAAAGATAGGAGATTCCACTCCTGTATGAGGTAGCCTTGCTCACTTAAGACTTGACAAGCAGGTGGGTCTTTGTGTAAAGAAAAGATGTGCTTTCCTCCAGGTGGACTCAGCCTTACCCCAGGGCACATAGCTGGTCAAGGGGTGCACAAATTGCATTTCAGCCCCCACTTGCTCTGCATCCAGACATCTTTGTGCAGTGCACAGAGCATACAACTGAACATGGCAGCCCTAGCCACAAGTATGTATTGTGTGCTCCCTGTGAGCCGACACTGCGGGAACAAGACAAGACATAATCCCTGTGCTTGTGGAGCTCACATACCAGTGGGAGAGACTGACCACAAACAGGCCAGGCTATGGTGAAAACAATACAGGGTGAGAGAGATGCTGTAAAGCAAAGCTGGATGTGGTGATAAGGAGGGACAGGCTTGGAGGAGGGACTTAATTTAGAGCTGGTGGAGGTGGGGGTGAGTGGTTTGCGGGGAGGAGTTGGGGGCCAGAAGCCAAACCCAGAAAGAGTTCAGCCTGTTTGAGAAGCAGGTTGCTCAGTGGCTGGAAAGGGGTTTGGGGGCAATGTCAGAAGGCTGGGCAATGAGCCAGGCCAGGCTGGGCAAGCACTTATAGGTCACTGCAAGGAGTTCGGATGTCTTGCAAATGTCTGTGGGGCCACAGACATTTCTGAGCCATTGGGTGGAGAAGGGGAGGGGGAGGAGGAATAAGAGAGAAAGTCTAGGAGGAGAGAAAACAAAGAGGCAGGTGGCCCAGATGAGAGCAGTGGAGGGAAGGCCACCGTGATAGGCCTGGGGCACAGCTATAGGGTGCACGGGGGATGGATGCACGGGGTCTGGACGAGCAGGGCTGACATCTCAGCGGGGCCTGGCGTGATTCATGATGTTGGGGATTCTGCTGCACTTGGAGGTGACATTTTGCCTTCCCAAAGTCATCGTCCTCGGAGCAGAAAGGAGCCACAGCCCTCCCTCTGCCTCCCCTGAAAGCTCAGGTCATCTACTGTCATTTCTGGGGGTGGGAACAGGCAGGAGATCCTCTCGTGGACTAATCAGAGTGATTTGTGTGTGCAGTTCAACGTCAAAAAGTCCACAGAGCCCGTTCAGCCGCGAGCCCTCCTCAAGTTCCCAGATATCTACGGCCCCAGGCCGGCTGTGACGGCCCCCGAGGTCATCAACTACGCTGACTACACGCTGAGGACCACAACGGAGCCCACTGCACCTGCCAGCCCCCAGGCCCCGAATGACAGCCGCCTCAAGAGGCAGGTCACAGAGGAGCTGTTCGTCCTTCCTCAGAATGGTAGGGATCTCTGCCCCTCACTCTTCCGTGGGCAGTACTCAGCGAGGGGTGAAAGCATCTCTGTAGATGGTGGGCATGGCCAGCCCCAGTGTCTGTGGCATTGGACACTGGGCAAGCAGTGGGCACAGCACCTTGGAATTACAGCCCTTTAGCCCTTTATTCCCTGCATGTTCCCACACTGCGTCTCCCCAAGGCCTCCAACTTTCCACGGGGAAACGGAGAGTCCCTTTGAAGACGTGGGCACCACTATAGAGAGCGGATAAAGAGCTGCGGTCAAACTACGGGCTTCAGAGTCAAGGGTTTAATCTCTCCCCTTTTATATACCCATTGTGTGACCCTGGTCACGTTGCTAATCTTTTGGGAGCCTCGATTTCCTCATATATAAAATGGGATCATACTATCACCTGCCCAGTAGGGTTGTTGTAAAGTGTGAACATAATAATGCATAGAAAGTGTTTAACTCAGAGCCTGGCCCAAGGATGTAATCAAAACATCATCATTATTATTGTTTCTATTCTCCTTCTCATCACCACCAACATCAAGCATGTGACACCTTTCTGTGTACAGCGCTATGCTGGACACTGGGGCAGATGTGTGACACCCTTCTGTGTACAGCGCTATGCTGGACACTGGGGCAGATGTGTGACACCTTTCTTCTGTGTACAGCGCTATGCTGGACACTGGGGCAGATGTGGAGGCAGAGACAGTGCCTAACCCAAGGGAGCATGCAGACTTTTATAAGGAGACAAAAACATCCAGCCGGGAGAATGGATTGTTACATGGTTTGGGGTTTTGTTTTGTGTGGTTGGAGAGGGAGATGCTGCAAACAGAAGCAGCGTAACTGGCTCCTAAGGCATCTTCCTGGCCTGGGTCCAGCACCACGCTGGCCAGTGAACAGGTGCCCCCCCCACCAACCCAGCCCAGAACCACAGTGATTATGCTGGCATTTCTTCAAGAACAAGTACAGGTAGTGCTGGTGGCAGGAACGAATCCTGGTTGGCTTTTAGCCTCCAGGTTTGCCAGCTCACATTTTAAATTAAAATAAACCCATTGAGGCCTTGAGAGCTTAAGCTTGGAGGGTGGGGAAAAATTTGCATGAGGACCCTCGGAGTGGTAATCAGAATCAGAAGCAGAATCACAGGAGGGATCCCCTTTCTTGGGAGCCCCAGACTTCTCGAGGCTGGGATGAAGCCAGGCTTGGACACTCTCCACCAAGGACAGCGGCAGAGCACTTCAGAGTCTGAAACTTTGAAGAATTCACAACACATCCATTTGTTTTCTCTTTCTGGCTCCTCATTCCTTTCCCCACCACAGAAGGCAACAACCAAGTTCTGATTCCACTGACATCTAAGAGCTGATTGGTTCAGCAAATACTGACCAGAGGCCAGGGTGTGCAGAGGGAGAGGACGCCAGATTGGACACTGTCCCCATGATGTGCGCGACTCAGTCTACTCCCACCATCAATGATTCTCATCAGCCCCTTTTAGAGCTCAGGGTCCCGATTCTTTTTTTTTTTTTTTATTTTTTATTGGAGTATAGTTGATTTACAATGTTGTGTAACTTCCTGCTGTACAGCACAGTGACTCAGTTATACATATACGGGGTCCTGATTTTTGAAGCTGAATCTGCTTCTGCATTTCCCAGGGGTGCTGGGTTTGGTTTGGTCTCGGTTTGGTTTTGATTTTGAAGGCTGAAGCAGTCTGAGACCCGAGAGCTCTGGGTGCCAGGCAAGCCCCCTCTGACACTGTCCATGTGCTGCCCTTGGAAGCCAGCCGGTTCCTGGGTGGGTGTTTGTTTGGCTTTACACATTGCGCTCACATCCTGGTCAACCCATTCCTTGCTTAGACACACCAGGGAGAGTCTTCACTACTTGCAGGGACCCAATAATGAACCATTCTGGAAATTAAATACTCCTTTATATTTCTGCCCTTTAAATTAGTCCTGAAAATCAAAACAAATTTAAATTCCAATTTGCTACAAGTGGAGTCTCCTCAGCTGCTGGATCCTTTCATTCTCATTATGCTTTTGACTAATGAGAATCTTCCAGAGGTTTGGCTCCTGTCCAAGTGAGGGGCAGAGTGAGCAATATTTGTAGTTTTCAGAACTTCTGAATTAAATTCATTCATTGAGCAAGTATTTACTGAACGTGCTCTAAAGTCAAATCCACTGTCTCCAACCTTGCCCTCCAGTATCTACTCCTGCCTGACTAATTCTCTGACATTTATTTCCAGCCATGAACTCCTGGGGAGCAGGGATCGGACTCTGTGAGAGAGATGGAGCTGGAGATGGGCTGGGGAATGATTTGCTTGAAACAGGATGATCAGGACCACACAGTCTGTGACAGTTTCTCATGCTGAAAGCTCACCAGGGGCCAGGCCCTGGGCTAAGTACTTTTCTCACTTTATTTCATTTAATGCTCACAGGAACTCCAGGAAGAAGGAACCGCTATCATTCCCATTGTAAAGATGAGGAAACTGAGGTTCAGAGAAGTCAAGTAACTTGTCCAGGGTCACATAACTATTATGTAACAGCTCATGTCTGACACCAAAGCCCATGTCTTGCCCACTGGGCTGTGATGGTCCCTTGAAAGGTAATGCCCGGGACCACAGGTGGTCCCCTGGTGCAGCCACCATGATTTTGCACCTGGTTAGGAAGCTTTGGGTTTGGATTTGTGGCAGAGATGGAAAAGGCATGATCTGGAAAACAGGACCCCAGCGTGGGTGGGAGTAATGGCTTTACCTTCCTAACAGGTGTGGTGGAGGATGTCTGTGTCATGGAGACTTGGAACCCAGAGAAGGCTGCCAGATGGAACCAAGCTCCCAAACTTCACTACTGTCTGGACTACGACAGGCAAAAGGCTGAACTATTTGTGACTCACCTGGAAGGTATGTTCTTAGCTGACTTTCACGGCCTTCTGTGTGCTTCTCTCCCCAGAGCATCTGTGGCTGGAGGTAGCACTGGGTACTAGATTAGCACTGTGTAACAAACAAGACCCTGACGTGTGTGATGCTCAGACACACGGGTTTTTCCTCTCTCTCGTATACCAGTCCAAAGTGGAGATTCCTGGTTGGTGGACATCTTTCCTCCAAATAGTGATTCAGGGACTGGGCTCCTTCCACTGAGGCCTCCTTGTCATCTGTATCTAGCAGGTGGAAGGATGGGGAGAGCAGGGAGAGGGCACAACTGTTCCTTAAAAGCTGCATCCTACGTAAGGTATGCATCACGCCTGCTCACTTCCCATTGGCTGGAACTTGGTCACATGACCACTGACTGCAAAGGACGCTGGGAAATATGGCCTAGCAGGTGCCCAGTTAAAAGAAGGGAATGGGTTTTGGTGAACAGCTAGTCTTCTCTGCCATAGATGCCTTTGACATTGGACAGGGCCTGTGCTAGACACAGAGGGTATTCTGAATGGTCAGCAAAGCTTTTGTAGCCCTAGAACCAGGTAGTCTTTCCTACAGGGTCAGGATGTCCCTGGTTTCCCTACCCTGACAATTCACTTTACCATTAGCAAACAAAGCTAAGACTTTGCAAAGGAATTGGGGCTAAAAATGCACTACTCTGTGGCTCCTGGAAGCTAGAAGCTGGGAACAGGATAAATTGGACTTTTGTACTTAATTTTATTTTTTTGAGGGAGTGTTTTTCGTTTTTACTTCTTTTAAGATTTTTTTTTTAGTGTTTCACATACTTTCTTACATTTGGGCTTCACAGTAGTCCCATTTTACAGTTCGGAAACTGAAGTCTAGCAACGTCAGGTGACTTGTCTAAGATCACTCCAACTAACTGGTGCCAGAGCCAGGACTAAGCCCAGTTCCCTTGAAGCTCGGTGCAGGGCTCTTTCTATTAGGACACATGGCCTCACTTCTTCATCTTCTCTGCCTGGGTAACGCCAGCTACCACTTGTCAAATTATCACTGAGGAACCAGTCATAAAAGCTCCACAGGTGCAAATTTCCACACGGGGAAGCCTTAAAAACACCAAGGTTCAGAATGCAAAACAGCAGTCATGAGGTAGCGGCCAAGCGATTTATATCACAGGTAGTTGTGTGGTAAATATTTAACGTAGAGAGCAAACGAATTATGGAATCAGCAGCAAGACTAATGAAAATCAGCAGCAGTTTGTGGGCCCCGGCGCCTTGGGGAAATCTCAGTCATGAGGAAGATCTCCGATTTCTAAATGTCTTGCTGAAAGGCGATTCCACCAAGCCAGTGTCGTCAGCCCGGGCGGGGCCTTTCAGACGCCCAAGGTCATGACGACTAAGCCGGGTTCTGCAGCTCACAGCAGGGCCCTCCTTCTCCCTTCCCCTGGCCCTCAACAAGCCCTACATCTGGCTGCTTTCTCCCCGGCTGCAGCTGTGACCAGTGACCATGATGGAGGCTGTGACTGCTATATCCAGGGCAGCGTGGCCAACACCGTGGGCTCCGTGGAGGCCCAGACGGCCCTGAAGAAGCGGCAGCTGCACACCACGTGGGAGGAAGGCCTCGTGCTGCCCCTGGCAGAGGGGGAGCTCCCCACAGCGACCCTGACACTGACCCTGAGGACCTGCGACCGCTTCTCTCGCCACAGTGTGGCCGGGGAGCTGCGCCTGGGCCTGGATGGGGTGTCGGTGCCTCTGGGGGCCGCCCAGTGGGGCGAGCTGAAGACTTCAGTTAAGGTAGGCTTGCCTCTCCCCGGGAAAGGTAAAACCTGTTAGTGGCGCATGGGATGCAGGACTGGGCCAGTGATCATATGGAACAAACTTCGGAGAACTTCCCAGGCTAGGGGCGGGGGTCTGGAGAGGGAGGCGGGATATCAAAGTAAGGTGGAGTCTTGAATAGGGTGGAGGGCTGGAGCAGACTGATAGCTCAGGACTGGGGATTCCTGGTGTCTAGTTTTGCTTCTAGCTTGCCATGCACACACCCACCCCTGGCCTCGCCATCATGGAAAACATTGCATTGTGAGTGAATTGGCTCTGGCGCTAACAATATCATCCCCATTTAAAACCATTCATACTCCCCATGCACCTAGTGTGGGCCAGGCAGTGCAGGGGAGAGGAGTGCCGGGCAGAGCCCCTCTACTTGTAGAAAGTACAGGCCAGAGGGAGAAGTTGGAACAGATGATGATGACGGTGATGATGGCTATGATGATGATGATGATATCTGACATGAGACATCTAAGAGGGGCCTAACTGAAGCGCTCAGAAGGGGAGTTCTAAAAGGCCTGGTGTGCAGTGGTGCTTGTGCTGGGCTTTGAAGGAGTGACCAGGGCTAGGGGGTGTTGGCTGTAGCCTGGGATGGTTCTCCCTACCCCTCTGCTGCTGCAGAAGCCACGAGTGGGAAACAAGCGTCTGCTGAGATGCCTCGCTGTTCAGAGAGAGGTTCCTTGGAGAGCAAACCATCATTCCCCACAGGCCAGGACAGTGAGGAGGGGGGTCAAGTAAGGTCAGGGCTGCAGGACAGTGAGTGGCTATTTAGGCCCCCAGGTCCAGGCCTCATCCAAGGGTCTCTGCCGCCATGATGGTGCCTAGAGGGAACCTTCTGGTCAGTGCCTTATCTGGAGATTGTATAGCCTACAAAGCCTACAATAGTTACTATCTGGTCAGAAAAAGTTTGCTGACTCCCATGCTGGAGTAATAAAAATACTGACAAAGACACTGATTTTTGAGCTTTTGCCATCTATCAGTTGCTATGCTTAGAACTTTACCAAAGTTCTGTCCCTAATCAACCAGGTGGAAGTGACACCAGGACTATGGCATTTACAGGCAAGAGAAATGAGGCTTAGAGTAGCTCAGTGACCCGCGTGGGGTCGCCCACCTGGGACCTGGCAAGCTCGGCCTTGAGGCCAGGTCAGTCTAGTTGGAAATCCCGGGTCGTCCTCCTGTTGCTGTGGGATGTAAGTGCCCGACAATGCCCGAGACAGCAGTCAGCAGGTGCCTTTCCTGAAGAACCCCGAGGGAGGGGAGGGTACGCTTTCACGCCCCACCTGCTCCACTTCTTGCTATGATATCTTCGTCGCCATATCTTCCTCTCTTTCCCAGACTCAGCAAATTGATAAACACTGACAGCCACTCTCAGCTGGACCCAGGCTGTTCCCGAGCACACTCTCTAATTAGTGTGTGATTTGGGACTTGTGTGGAATCACAGCCTGGGACCCCCGGGGAAGAGGAATCCGACACTTTGGTTTGTTCAGCTGGTAATCCAGCTTCCTCAGGAGATGGAGGGGCTCCACTCCAGGGCTTTGGAGACTTTGGTGCTGTTTCACAATGGTAGAAATGCAGCCTATCTGGGCAGAAATCCCAGGCACCTAACCTGTTTCCATCCTTTCCCCTAGAAGAACAAAAGTGATTCATTCATTCCACAAATACCTTGCCCGGTTCCCACCATGTGCCAGGCACAGTGCCGGGAGCTGGGGACACAGCAGTGATGAAGACAAAAGACCTGCCCTCACGGCTCATCCATCCTAATAATCGTTACACTCATCGTAGCTGTCACTGTTCCGCAAATACACTCGCACATCCACTTGGACCGCTGACCTGCTTGCCACGAATGTGAGCAAAATCTCAGGGGGCAGCGTGGAATCAGAAGTCTGAGATGGGGCTCTCGGTGTGTGAGAGCCCCAAGGCCAGGCTAGGGAGCCCCTTGCCCCCACTAGCTGGAGGGTGCGGGCTGATTTGAACAAAGTGGGTGGAGCCATCAGTTGCTGTAGCCCACATGTTTCTCTTCTCTTGGTCAGAATGGGTTAAAGGAGGTGCCAGCGGTGCCCCAGTTCTCACCGGAAGACACTCAGCCAAAAGTGGCATGTGCGTCACCAGGGACCACAGAGTGACCCACTCCAAGGGCAGCTGGAATGATTCATTGAGAGCCCAAGAGAAAGACGCAGGGGTGGTGGGTGCGGGAAAAAACAGAGAAAAGATGGAGAAAGAAAGCGGGTTATTTTTGTCAGCAGGTACTTTAAACAGCAGAGCCGAGGGGGCAGATGCTGTTAAAATTCTCCAGCTGTGGCACAGCCAGCTGGGCTCATCTGGGGCTCTCGGCTCCCTACGCAGAGGTGATGAGCCCTTCACGGGCTGATGGGCCCAGGCTTCTCTCTCTTGGTCACCCTGTGGCCACAGCCCAGGCCAACAACCGTGGACCTCCAATAAGTGATCTTGAATCAGGAGGCTGGTGCCCATCCCAGCTCAGCTGCCACCCCTCAGTACACATGCCTGAACTCAGTTCCTTTACTGTGAAATGAGAGGTCTGTCCACCGAGGATGCTGGAGGACCACGGGTTTAGGGCTGGGGCTTTGCTATCAAACCAGACCCCCATACAAGGCTCAGTTTTGCTACTTACTGGCTACATGACCTCAGGCAGTGAAGTGCCCTCTCTGAGCATCAGGGTCTTATGCTTAAAATGGGAACCAGGTCAGTATTCTTCTTACTCTTGTTGTCAAGATTAAATGGGATGTCTCACCCTTCCTTCTCACAAATATGTATTGTGTGTCGGCTGTGTGCTAGGTGCTGGGGATGGCTTTGTGGAGATGAAGGCTTGGGGGAGAGATACTGTAATTGCACCCAGCACAGAGTGTGTCATGTTAGCTGCTACCCTTAATGCCATTACCAAATTCCTGGCATCTCCCAGAATCATTCCATCACATGACTAGCCACTTAGGGCTAGTTGAATTGTTCTGGTCCTATTGAAGACATGTTTCCTGGATGAAAGGTGTGACCCCGGCAGAGGGCTGGCCAGCTACTCCATCCAGCTTCACTCCCTAAGCACAGACTGTCTCCCATTCACCCAGAAACAATGTTCCCACTTAGTCGTCTCAAGAAGTGGTAATTGTCCTTCCTTGATAACTAATGGTAATCGTCAAAGCAAGGGGACAGATGCTGTCGTGTGTGCCAGGCACTGTTCTAAGCCGTTATATAATTACTCATTTAATTTTCACAACCCCATTGGGTGGAGATATTATTGTTCCCATTTTACAGATGAGGAAATGGAAGTTTTGGAAAGAGAAATAACTTGCCTAAGGTCACACAGCTAGTAAATGGTAAGATTGGAACTGAAACCAGACAATTCTAGAGTCTATACTCTTAGCACTACCCTTGGGCTGTGACCTGCCTCCTGTGGTGTCTCTTTCACTCGTTTTCGTCCCTCAACGGATTTGTTGAAATTCCACGCAAACTCTTGTAGGAATTTCAGTGGAGACACTCTGTAAAGCTGCCGGTGGGGGATGGACATGCTGGATGCTTCCCGGAGGCATCAGCACCTCCTGCAAATCAGTTACTGCCAGTGTCTCTGGTGTGGTACCTCCCCTCACATGCCCGGCCTTTTGTTGACACAGTTGGCCATTGTGTTGACCAAGACAGGCCCTGCTCAGCATTACTACATCGCATTATTGACTCTCTCAGCCCTGCAGGGCCTGGAAGGGATTATTTTTTCAAGCAGAGTAATGTCTTACAGCAGCCCGCCGCCCCAGGGACCTGATCAGTCAATGCAGTGGTTCTCAAACTCTGTTCCCTAGAAACCTAGGGCTCTATACAGACGCCCCAGGAGCCGGGGGCGGGGGTGATGGAGGTGAGAGGAGGTCCAGGCCCTCTGGCCCTGCCACATCCTGAATGGCATCTCTTTGATCTGTTTTATATGTTGGATTTGAATATAAAGTATTTGGAAAATCACGTTTTGTGGCAAATGAAAAAACTTGTATTGAAACACATGTTACACAGAACTCCTCTGTACCTTCCTCCCTTCTGCGAGGGTGGAGAAAGTAGTGCTGATGGGTAAATGCTTCCCAGGATGCCCGTTGGATACAAGGTTAGTGTGGTCCCTGCCTCAGCGATGGTGAGGGGGTCAGAAGGCATCCCTAAATGAGACTCACCTCCTGCATCCCCTCTTCTGTTTCAGGAGCCGTCTGCAGGAACGGGAGAGGTCCTTCTCTCCATCAGCTACCTCCCGGCTGCCAACCGTCTCCTACTGGTGCTGATTAAGGCCAAGAACCTCCATGCTAATCAGTCCAAGGAGCTCCTGGGGAAGGGTGAGTGAGGTGTGAGAGGGGAGCTAGGGCCCTTCCCACTGCGAGCGGGGGGGGGGGGGGGGGGGG